TTAGGTACAGAAAAACAAACAAATACGCAAGCACAAAGCATCCCTAAGTCAGCCAGATGAGCAAATTCACAAGTACAAAGCATCCTTAGGTACAGAAAAACAAACAAATACGCAAGCACAAAGCATCCCTAAGTTCAGCCAGATGAGCAAATTCACAAGTACAATGCATCCCTAGGTTCAGCAAGATGGGCAAATTCACAAGTACAAAGCATCCTTAGGTACAGAAAAACAAACAAATACGCAAGCACAAAGCATCCCTAAGTTCAGCCAGATGAGCAAATTCACAAGTACAAGGCATCCCTAGGTTCAGCAAGATGGGCAAATACACAAGCACAAAGCATCCCTAAGTTCAGCCAGACTGGCAAATGCACAAGTACAAGACATCCTAGGTGCAGCCAAATGGGAAAATACTTAAGTATTCCTAGCATAAATACAAAATCACAAAGCTTTCTTAGACAATTTCACAAAATATATTTCTATATATTAAAGAAAATCATGAATCAAGTAGAGTAACTGTACGTAATGCAATCTTTGGGTCAATTTCCATCGTAGCCGTGGCACCATCATTGAATACGAATGACGCTCCACTGTCCATCACTAAACACGCATCCCACATTCGAGACTTCACAACAATTCTGAGAAAGAAAAGAAAATGGCAATTATATATATTATATAAAATTCTCCAGAATAGAACAAACTAAGCAGTTTTCAAAAGAGAAAAAAATGCAGATTTTAAGAACCATTATTTAATGCTTTTTATCAAATCCTCTAGATGACTTGACACTACATATACCTTTGACTACAGGAACATGAATTGTATAAGGTGTATATTTTATAGAAAATCCTCTAGGTGACTTGACACTATATATACCATTGACTACAGGATCATGTATTGTATATAGTACTTACTTTTAGCAAATCCTCTAGGTGACTTGAAACTATATATACCATTGACTACAGGATCATGTATTGTATATAGTACTTACTTTTAGCAAATCCTCTAGGTGACTTGAAACTATATATACCATTGTCTACGGGATCAGGTATTGAATATAGCACTTACTTTTCAGCAAATCCTCTAGGTGACTTGACACTATATATATCATTGTCTACAGGATCACGTATTGTATATAGTACTTACTTTTAGCAAATCCTTGAGGTGACTTGAAACTATATATACCATTGTCTACGGGATCAGGTATTGAATATAGCACTTACTTTTCAGCAAATTCTCTAGGTGACTTGACACTATATATACCATTGACTACAGGATCACGGATTGTATATAGCACTTACTTTTTAGCAAATCCTCTAGATGACTGGACACTATATATACCATTGGCTACAGGATCACGTATTGTATATAGCACTT